TAAGATTAAATTAAATGAATCCTTCCTTTTTAAACTTAAATCTCGACCGTTGGTTTTTCTTTTAATGTGACACGTTACATTAGAGAGTTTTCAAATTCAGTTTTGAATTTATAAAGTATCACATTATTTTTTTTATACATATTTATTCATAAAAAAATTAAAAATATATACATCATACATGTCACTGGACTCGGCTATGTGTCTGCCTCTGAAAAACAAAAAAAGTTTTAAAAAAAAAAAAAAATTAATTTACTTTTGAAACTCTCAGAAGAAAGCACCATTTATCTGGGTTTGGTTTAAATTTTTTGAATTAAGTTTTTTAAAAATTAAATTTTTTATTTTTCATATTTTTTTATTTTTAGTGAATATTTTTAAAATTTTAAGAATTGTTTTAATTTTTTAGATACATCTTACTTAGATGTGTCTAAAAAGTAAAATATTTGTGAAAAAATATTTTAAAAAATTAATAAACATACAATAATACAAAAAATGTACTAAATTTTCATTTTTTTTTTTTTGGTATTTAGTGAATATTTTAATAATTTTTTTCATAAATATTATACTTTTTAAGTGTATTTATATTAAATATATTTAAAAATTAAAAAATATATATTTAAAATATTAAAAAAAATTCAATAAAAACAAATATATATATATAAAATAAAAAATTTAATTTTCATTTTCTAAAAAATGAATTTAAAAAACGCAAACAAGAAAAAGCTGATTTCTACTTCCACTTCATCTCAACCCCCCTAGTCCATCCCCATCCCCCTCAGACAACGACTGATATGGACATTGATTCCATTTTTTTCTTCTCTCTCTCTCTCTTCATGACCTAGTTGTCATCTACACCTGTCCTCAAATCCTTTCTCCAATTACCAAATTGCCCCTCTATCACATCTTTATTTTCTCTTCCCTTTAAACTTGAAATTATTTAAAGGAAAATATTATACATATAAGGTTTTTGTATAAATTTATTTCCAAACTGATATGTAATAAAATATTGGTATTCACATGAAATGATATCAACAACTTAATGGTCATCCCAATTTGTAAATTAAATTTATAAAATAAAAAATTATTTGAATAATGTTATTCTTGATAAAATAATGGTAGAAAAAAAAAATGAAACATCTTACAAACTTCTAAGGTGGTGTTTGGCAAGTGGGTTGGGGCTAAAATAGCCACAAAAGACAAAACAGGCTATTTTAGCCACAACAAACAAAGCATCACATCCAACCCATAATCATTACACTCTTCTCTCACAAAAAAAGCCAAAAAGCCAAAAAGCCAAAAAGCCAAAAAGCCCTTCCCAAACCAAACTTTTTAGCCCAGGCTAAAATAGCCAAAAAAGTCAAAAAGTTAAAAAGCCAACCCACTTCCCAAACGGAGGCTAAGAATTCTACACAAAGCACGTCGAAACTTAAAATGCTATTTTAATCTTTGAGCTTTGACTTTGATTATATACACATTTTTTTAAGAGGTTTTAGATAAGATTTTCTAAACAAAACCCATACATATTATTCTATTAACTTGAATATAAATGAGTTGCTTAGAGCAAAATTCAAAATGAAGAGTTCCATTAAATTGTTGGATTAAAATATTTGAAAAAATATTAAAGGTCCAGAATAGACATGAGAATAAATGATGGTTCTTTCTCAATTTTATTTCAATAAATCAAAATTACTCAAGCTTGGTATTAATAGAGATAAAATTGTAAGTATCGTCATGAATTGATAAACTTAAGTGTGGACAATAGATTGGGTCGGCCTAAAATTTAAGGTCTAATCTCAAGTCATGGGCTTTTGACTGGTCAACTAGTCAAGTTTAGGTTTGAGTCGATTCATCATATGTTTCTAAAACTTACATCCTGAATATCTGTCTTATGGGTTTCAGTTTCAAACCGAGACTTTGTCTATATGAGCTTAATTTGAGCTTTAATTCAAGCTATCTATCAAATTTAGAATTCATTGGAGAAATGGTAAATAATTATAATACAAAATGTTAAAAGAGTATCAAAACAATTAGAATTGAATATTCAATTAAAATAAAAAAATAAAATTGAGTTATTTAAATACAAAATTATGTGCGTTGTGTTATTAAATTAGATGATTGTCGGCATACTGTTTTTTTATAGCATACTGTTTTATGTTGGTGGGGTTTTTTTCTTAGTAGAGTTTTCTTAGCATACTATTTTATTGTGAGTTACGTACGAAAAGAATTCAAAATTTAATAAAAGAATTCAAAATAAAATTTAGTTCACAATTTGTTTTCAAATAACTTTCTAAATATTTTTTTCAAACTACGTACAGTTTCATTTAATTAGCATCGTTTGGTTAGTAATTTTGGCCCAAAAAAAAAATTAAATAAATCAAAATGTCATATCATACACTTTAATCAATCAATTTTTCATTCAACAAAAAAATTATTCTAAATACACTAATCTTTTATCTCATAAAAAAATTAAAAAAAAAACTAAAAAATTGCCAAAAATCTAAGTTACCAAGTGGATGCTTACGCCTTGTTTGGGAATGTGAGGGTTTAGACAAAAAGTAAAAAAATAAAAATAAAAAAAATTTTGAGTTATCAAATTATTCTCTCTAAAATAATAATAATAATAATAATAATAATAATAAAATCATTTAAAAGGCCAATTTTCAAAATGGGTTATTTGCATGGAGATTTTATAAACTATTGAAACTATCACTTTGATTCCCCAAACTATAATAGTATACAAATGAATTCTCTAAACTATTGGCCTATTTTATTTTAACTTCTTCCATTATTACACCGTGAGTTAAACTAAATTTTTTATATTTTTGAGACGAATACCCTCCACCACTCTATATAACACATCCGACAACACTTATTCATTTTCCTCCGGTTCCTCTCCCTAAACCTCTTCCTCTCCATAATTCATAAAACACTAACATTTGAAAATAAATTATTTTAAAATTTTTTTAAATTTTATGAAAAAATATATAAAAAAATAAATAAAATAATCTGATAACTTATAATGACATTTTAACAAAAATATATAATTGCCAAAGTAAATAGTGACACAAGCACGAACCAGATGGTAATCATATACAGTAGTGAATAATCACAAAACTTGGGTGATGTGTACTGATATTAGGGCATGAGAGCTCATTTGAGAATTGAATTCATATAAAATAGGGTCCAGCCTCTTACAAGTTGAGATCAAGATTGGATTTATTTAGTTCGGTTTATGGGGTTTATTTTTTGGGCCCGTTTTGATAATTTGAACCGTGCAATGTATAGAACTCGTCGAGTACTACATGTCTATAAAAAATCACATTGATCGGATATCAATAGCTATGTGATCAATCAGTTTTGTATAAAAAAAAGGGACGGTGAAACAATTAACGGTTGATAAAAAACTATTTTATTCACATAGGGTTGTTTTGGGAAGATGGTAAAAAGTGACTTTTTGGCTTTTAACCAAGCTTTTGGCTTTTTTAGACAAATGATTTGGGAAGTTAGTAAAAAGTGACTTTTGACTTTTTTGATTAATATTTGTTTATGATGTCAAATCATAATAAAATGACTAAACTACCCCCCATTTATTTAAAATATTTACAACTGAACCTATGTAACACATTGTGACCCATGAGGGATAAAATTGTAATTTCACCGTTGGCTAAAAACCAACTTGCCAAATGAAAAAAAAGCCAAAAAAGCCAACTTTTGACTTTTGCTACTAACCAAAAAAAGTGACTTTTAGCCAAGTTCCTAAAATAGCCCATAAGTTATCGATATCTGATCAACGTGATTTCATACATATATATAGTATTTTATGATTTCTACACATTGAACGATTCAGATTATCAAAACAAGACCTGTGATAAGCCTTTACGAACCCAACAACACGATCCAGTCCGATCTTAAACTAGACAAAGCCACTGCCTATAAAATAATCCTGGAAGGAGATTTTTGGAATGCATCAACTTCAAGGTAAACATTCACCAACTAACATATATATGATTTCCATCTTGGGTGGTGTGTACTGATATTATGAGCTTTTCTTTTTTACTATATTTTTTTAAAATATTCTTTCTGTAAAAATATATTCACAAAGAATATTTTAAAAATAATAATAATAGATGAATGTTTATATTTAAAAAAACACAAATAAAAAAAAGCAATAATTATGAAATTGTAAATATATAGAGTATTGGAAGGTATTTTCGTCTAAAAAAATGTCAAAAATTTAGTTTAATTCATAATACAGTAACAAAATTAGTCAATACAAAATAAGTTAATAGTTTAAAGGGTCCATTTATATATTTTTATAATTTAAGAGATCAAAATAAAATACGTCAATAATTTAAAAACTCATTTATTCATTTTTACGATTTTTTTTTAGATAGTGTATTCATTTTTTTTATAATTTAAGAATTAAAATTTAGGATGAATGTTTCCAAATTCTATCAGCTTGCTTGGTTTGAGTTTTCTGAATTTACTTTTTAGAAAATTAAAATTTTTTATTTTTGCGTATTTTTTTGATTTCATTGAATTTTTTTTAATATTTTAAGTAATTTTTTTAATTTTTTTGATACTCATAACATAAATACACTTAAATTTTTATCAAAAAAAATATTTAAAAAATTCAGTAAATACCAAAAATACAAAAAATATTTTACTAAAATTCAGTATATTTTTCATATTCTTGTATATTTATTAAATTTTTAAAATATTTTTTTATAAATATTTTACTTTTTAATATATCTAAGTAAAGTGTATCTTAAAAAAAATAAAAATAAAAATATTTAAAATTTAAAAAATATTTACAAAAAATGAAAAATTAAATTTCTAAAAAATTAAAAATCAAACACGGTGATTGATGATTTTGGATATGTGTAGACTGTAGACCGTGCATAAGGGCATTATAGTAATCAGAAACTGAAACTATCCAGTCACAATACCGAACAGTATCTCATCAGCTGGACTACTTATCCCAACCCTTCCATTGAAGCTCTCTTCATTTCACAACACAAAACACAACTCTCTCTCTCTCTCTCTCTCTCTCCCCCCTCTCTGTTCCTCCTATCTATAATCAGTCAACCCCTCTCTCTCTCTCTCTCTTCTTGTGAGCTTGTTTTGTTGTTGGTCTGGTGAGGTGTGATGATGGATGTGAGCTGCAGCCGGTGTTCCCACACTTCCCACATCACGGAGATCATCATCACTAGCTTTTTCCGACACAAGCTATAAATACCCAAAAAAACCAAAGCAATTTAGAAAGAAATTTATCAAACAGGACTGTCTGATCTTCATAACCCATATATAATTACTATGCCAGCTTGAAAAATCCCATCTTTTCCGATTTCGAGCTATGGCCGGTCGGAGGATGCTCTACGGCGGAGCTTCTTGTGGTGGTGGTGGTGAAAGTACCAATACTGTTTTGCTTCAAAATCAAAGGGTTCCTTGTTCTTCTGAGCCTCTTGATTCTCTCTTCCTTTCTGGGTCTTCCCCTTCTTTCCTTGGTGACTCTTTTCTTTCTTTCACTCACTCATTTTTTTGGTCCTGAATTGCTTGTGATTAAATTGCAGCTTTTAATATGGTTACTTGTTTATATATTATACCTATATATGTGGGTTTGATTTCTTTATATGGCACTTTTGATTGTTTGCTCTGCTTTTAGATTCATTATTTTCACCTGAATTTTCTTTGGGGGTTTTCTTAATTCATATCTAACAAGCAAAATCAATACTCTTCATTTCCCTGTTTTTTATTCTTTATTTTCATAACGAAATTATGATTTAAGTGTGTGTGTGTGTGTGTGTGTGTGTGTGTGTGTGTGTGTGTTTTTGTGTTCTGGGAAAATTGAAGGACTGTTCCAGTCAAAGTTGACATCTAAACTCAATAAATCTTCACTGTAATCGATATCTGGTTGGTTGATCTGAGTAATTTGTGATTTTGTGATTTCTGGTTCTGTTTTTATTTATTTATTTATTTATTTTTTATATTATTAGGTTCATACAAAACTCAATGTTTCAAAAGTCCTTAGATTCCATAAGCAATTCGATTTTGTGAGAATTTTATGCGATGAAGAGTTTCTCTAGCCATGTCAAAAAATGGATATTAACTTTTTAACATTTATAGTTTTGGTTGCAAAATGGTCTAAATATTGTTTTGTTTGTCTTTGTATCAGGTTCAAGGTCCGTGGTTAGCTTTGAAGATGTTAATGGGGGAAAAAGAACGAATCGACCGTTCTTCCACTTGTTTGATCAAGAAGACAATGTAGTAGATGATGAATTAGATGAATACTTTCATCAACCCGAAAAGAAGAGGCGACTCACGCCCGACCAAGTCCAATTTCTAGAGCAGAGTTTTGAGGTAGAGAACAAGCTTGAACCGGATAGAAAAATTCAGCTCGCCAAGGATCTTGGTTTGCAGCCTAGGCAGATTGCGATATGGTTTCAAAACCGCCGAGCACGGTGGAAGACAAAACAGCTAGAAAAGGATTACAAGGCACTGCAATCTAGCTACAATACTCTCAAGGCCGACTACGATGGACTAGTTAAGGAGAAGGATAAACTAAAATCCGAGGTAATAACCCTATTGAAAAGCTTTCCATTTGTGCATTGTTATAGCTCTTAAGAATGTGTAAATGTATGTTTGACATTCATTGTTGCTTCTTAATCGGTCTTTGTGCTTGCCTTTGGATACATCACGAGTTGTCTTGGCGGACTAGTTGGAGAATGTGTGTTTGGTTGAGGATTTGGTAAGGGATTAGGAAATAGAAAAGGAAAAGGGAAGGTGAAATATTAATAGAATATATCTACATTTCACTTAATTTTATTTATTTTTTCTCTTTTTTTCTTTTTCAAATTCCTCAAATCTTCCAATCAAACAGCGTAACTAGTATCACAGACTTCTGCCGTGCGATGGTTGGTTATCAAAATTTGTTGTGTGGCTTTGGAGTTTGGATATTTGTTGTATAATGGTTATAAATTTTCTCGTTCAGGTTCTTCACCTCGCAGACAAGCTGGTTCTCAAGGAGAAAGAGAAGGGAAACTCCGAATCGTCTGATACGAACCAACAATCTCAAGCACCAACGCAAAGACTGCCAATTGCTGATTCAGTTTCTGAGGGTGAGGTATCAAAGAATTCAACAGTGGCTTGTAAGCAAGAAGATCTTAGTTCAGTCAAAAGTGACGTACTGGATTCAGATAGCCCGCGATACATTGATGGGGGTCACTCCTCTCTGCTGGAGCCCGGTGATTCCTCATATGTATTCGAACCAGACCAATCAGATACATCTCAGGATGAAGAAGATAATCTGAGCAAGAACTTGTTGCCTCCTCCTCCTCCGGCATACGTGTTTCCAAAGATTGAAGACGATGATTACGCAGACCCGCCTGGGAATTCTTGTTTGTTTGGATTCTCAGTTGAAGATCACGCCTTTGGGTTTTGGTCTTAATTGAATGTCAGCATATACTAGTGTTGTTTCTGTGTCTTTGTTTGCGTTTGTTGTTTTGCATCATGCCAGTCTTAGCTGTATTAGGGAATAAATCCAATCCATGGCACCCCCAATCCAGATGTGGTGGTGGGTTTTGGTAAGGGCTGTTGTTGGTGAACTTGTTTCGTTGTAAGGAAGTATTGTAAGTAAATAATTGATTAAAATCTTTGCTGAAAGCTTGTTGACAAACATTTTTGAGATGAAATATAGAAGAATCAACAGTGTGAAGGAGAAGCTAATAATGTAGACCCTGGTTAGTGAAGTTCTTTTTCAAAACAAACTAAAAAAAATCAAAGTTAGCTTTTAATGAACTTTTCAAAACAAGCCTTAGTAACGGACTTTGTGTCTACCCAAACCCAGCTTGACCCAAACATCATGCCTATTATATCCAAGTCTAATTTAGCTTATTTGTCTTGAGTTTTCTAAATTCACTTTTCAGAAAATTGAAATTTTTTATTTTTCATGTTTTTTTGTTTTCACTGAATTTTTTTAATATTCTAAGTAATTTTTTTTTGTTTAAAATTTTTAGATACACTTAATATAAATATACTTAAAAATGTATAATATTTGTAAAAAAATCTTTAAAAAATTCACTATATACCAAAAATATATTAAAAAAATACAAAAATTCAATATATATTTCGTATTCTTGTGTGTTTATTGATTTTTTAAAATATTTTTTATAAATATTTTACTTTTTAGATATATTTAAAAAAAAATTAAAAAATAAAAATATTCATTAAAAATACAAAAAATACAAAATTTAATTTCTAAAAAATTAAATATAAAAAATTAAAACCAAACATACTGATATTTTTTTAAAAAAAATCAGGAGGTGGACAATGGGGGAGAATATGCTGAAAATATATTATTTTATACGTATTTATTTGTTTTACATAAAAATATTATACTGAAAATAATGACAAAATAACAAATTCAATAAAAAAAAATCATTAAATTTATGATTTAAATATTAATCAACATAGAAATTACTATTTGTCATTAATAAATTATTACATTACAAATGTTAAATAGAGAGATATTGGAGTTTTGGAGAAGTGAAAATGTTTTAGATATATGTGTTGGAGTTGTGAGACATGTATTTTTTTTGGGCTAGTTACATTTTTACTCATATAGTTTGATTTAGATTTTATTGCGATCTTTATAATTTTAATTTATACAATTTGATTCTTATACTTTAAATTTAAATTTAATTTTAATTTAGTCATTCCATTTAAATTTTTCTTAATTTTTTTTACGCTTACACCTTAATACTGTGTTTGGTTGAAGGATTTGGGGAGGGAAAGGGAAAAAGTGTGTAAAACTAGGTAAAATATAGGTATATTTTATTCACATTTTACCAAACTTTTCCCTTTCCCTTTTTAAATCTCTCTTCAAATCCTCCAACCAAACACAGCGTAAGAGATTCATAAGTGTTTTAAAATCGTTAATTTTAGCTTTCAACCTGAATACAATGACTAAATTGAAACTAGAAGTAAAATTTATTGACTAATTTATTTAATTTGAAACAATAGGAATGAAAATGAACTTGAATCAAAGGGTAATTAATACGTTATTTTTCTATCTTTGTATAAGCAAATTTGTGGATTGGAATTATGCTTTGTAGCATGGTGATCGAAACTCAAATAGTAAATCATTTGGGTTTTATTAAAGAAATCTCATGTTGATATTTTAATATATTGTAATGCTATAAATATTAATTAATGTATCAATTAACACATTAATTAGATATAATAAGGACTTGAGGAAGCCACATATATATATATATATATATCATGTGTCTTCAAGTATGTTAGTTACACTAATTAGTATTTCTACCATTATTCTTTTATATAATTATTATTGTTTTGTCCTATATGTGAAATTAATGAGTAAGGGCACATCTTTCAAATTTGTGATTTTGTCTAGATTCAATTATGGATTATGTAAAAGATAGGCAAATTTGGAAAGTTACAATAATAATTAAAAAGTTAAAAAATTATTCAAAAAATTAAAAAGTCAAAGAATTATAATAAAAAAATCAAAAAAAATTCTTTACATTTTACAAGTTTTTTTTTTGTAAAAACTTAAAAAATTATTTTAAACATATTAATTTTTTTTAATTCATATTTTAATTAAAAAAAATTATCCACCCTTATATGTAAGAGCCCAAGTTATAATTGTTTGAAATGGAAGCTTGAAATGGATAAGTGAGACTATTATCACATCAATCAACATTACTTGGTGGGGTATCTTGCACTAGTAGGGGAAAGTGATAGGCAACTCCATGTATTGGATGCCTTGTATTTGATTTTGATGAGTGTGTTTTTAGTGCTGAGAATCAAAATAAAAAGTTACGTTTTTTATCTTTGGTCTAAAAATACAAGTGGTAAAAACGTAATAAAATTAGTTTGAGAAGTTATAAAAACGTAAGTGTAAAATTATAAATTGGGGCCTATGATAAAAAAATAAAAAAATAAATTTTTTATGTTGAGTAAGGATATTTTGATTATTTTAATTTGATTTGACATCATAAACAAATATTAAACTAAAAAGTCAAAAGCTAATTTTTTATCAACTTTTCAAATTACTTTTCAAAAAACTAAAAAGGTTGATAAAATGTCAAAAGTCAACTTTTTACCAACTTCCCAAAACACCGAGTGGTTTAAAACCATCATTTTATTTTTTTATATAATTAATTATGACTAATCAAATTAATAAAAATATGCTTGAGATCTTATTTCATCAAAATTTATTGTGACCTTAAATCTCACTTTTATTAATTTAATCTATTATAATCGGTAAAAATTAAATGTAAAATAAAAATTCCAGGCCACATAATAATTTATGGTATTTGACGGTGACTTCACCATGTTCTATATTTTTTTATTTTTTTTTTATCAGAAAAAAAAGGGCTCTGTGCCACTACCAGGGCACCAATGGAGGGCAATCCCATGCCGCAGCAAAGTCCAAGGACCGAGGGGAGTAAAGGCATTACTCACAGGGAGTGATCTCAAATGTCCCTTCCAGGAATCGACCCTGAATCCTCGCCTGAGAAATGGGCAGCATCCTCCACCAGGCCACCACCCCTGGTATTCAGCCTTAAAAAAAAGGTTCTGTGGTGTCATCACAGCCCGTTGGGCCCTAGTCCCGAGGTAATCGGTTGCCAGCTAAGAATTAACCCCCACCAAGTGAGGGACCCATTACCAGGGCACCAATGGAGGGCAACCCCACGCCGCAACAAAGTCCAGGGACCGAGAGGAGTAAAGGCATTGCTCACAGAGAGTGATCTCAAATACCCCTCCCAGAAATCGACCCTGAATCCTCGCCTGAGAAATGGGCAGCATCCTCCACCAGGCCACCACCCCTGGTATTCAGCCTTGTTTGTCACAACTAATTTCAACGCAAAGAAAAAAGTAACAAAAAAAAAATAAAAATAATAATAATTAGAAAGTACGAAAAAATCAATGGTAAGCCTTTTTAGTTGTATTTTTGTTTTTATTTTTTATTTTTTTGCCAATTACACTAACAATCCATGTACTTTGAAACATGTCACTTTACTCCCTAACTTTTCAATTGTGATATATTTGGTTTTGAATTTTCAATCTTGTTCCAAATAAGGACAATCAAATATGTTTTCTTTACAAACGATCAATTTTAAGAGTAAAGTCGTCATACAATTTATTTTGTATTAATTAACTTGTACGTTGTTTAAAATGTAATAACTTTTTTTTTAAATGAATAATGTTGAAACTTTCTTGGTTATAAAGTTTTGTTTGATTTAGTTTACTTTGCTTTTGAAATAGAGTAACAATGTCTTCAATTGTTCTTATTTATAATAAAATTCAAAATTCATGGTCAAATATATCACAATTGAAAAGTTAAGGACCAAAGTGACACAAGTCCTAAACTATAAAGACCATAAGTATAATTTGTCCCTTTTACTTTTGTCGAACTAAAAAACTTATGTGATAAATTGTTTTAAAAAATTATTTTTCAAAAAAGCTTTATGAGATCAATCCACTTCTAAAAACATCAAAATGTTACTCACCAATTTTTGAAAGTTGATTTTGCCAAGAAATGAAAATGATAAATATTTTGAATTTTTCATTATTTTAGTGTCTTAAAAAAAACAAAAAAAAACAAAAAAAAACAAATGAAAAATGAAAAAAAAAAATGACAAATGAAAAATGAAAAAAAAGAACTTCACAGTTTTTCATAATTAACATATTTACTATCAGTTCACACTAGAGGTGGAAATTTGGCCCAGCCTGAGCTCGAGCCAGCCCATGTCAGGCCTCATGAGCTCCCATTGAAATTCGGGCCAGGCTGGACTAGTCCACAAGCCAGAAAATTAGTCCCAGGTCCAAGGCCAGGCTCAGGTGGTATTCGGGGCCTCGGGCGGGGCCATTGGGCTTAGGCTTGGGCTTAGTCCGATCTTGAACATTTTTTTAAATATTTTTTTCACTAAAATTTTTTTTTTCCACCAAAAAGGACACTCGGCCTTGGTGCGGGCTTCAAAATGATGGCACAAGCCCATGCCCAGGGTCTCGGGCCAAGCTCGGGCTTGGGCCTAATCGAGCTAGGCCCACCCTGAGCCATGGGTGAGTTTCGGGCCGTGAGCTATTTTTACACTTCTAGTTCACACATACACCATTTGAATTTTTTTAATCCATACCACTTCAATATTCATAATACCTTCATTTTTAACTTTCTAAGTTATTGTTAACTCTAGTCCATCAACTACTACCACCATTTGTCACCGATGCCATTCCCTTATGCTACCTGCTCTCCTACTCCCTCCTTTATTGTCGCTCCCTTCGCCACCACCTCCTCTCTTATCAAAAGCCTTCCCAACACCCTTCTCTCTCATCAACCCCTCCTTCGCCATCCCTCCTCAACGGCCTCCTTTTTTTTTTTCTTTCTAGATCTAGGGTTTTAAGGTGCAAAAGTTGTTGGGGCCTACTGGGGCAATGGTAGTGCCAACGTCAAGGGTAGTGGTTGATGGTGGTGGAGTTGCGAGTGAATGTGTATATCATTTGTCTTTAATGTAATTTTTTTGGGACAAAATTGTAAGTAAAAAAAAAGAAAAAAGAAAAAAAAAAGCAATGTAAACTAAGAAAAAGTGCATTGTGTAAACACAATAATACTAGAATGACCATTTATTCTTACCATCTTGCGTTTATCACCTTATGTGCCAAACACTACATTGGCCATTAATAACAAGCAAGAAT